AACTAAAGTCTGAGATGACCAGCTCTAATGGCACATCCAAATGTGCCAAAAACTACTTTCCACATACACTCCGGACAGAACTAGAAACAACAAGCTAGGATAGCAGCAAAGCATGTTTTTTTCGAATGTCTAACTGACAGAAAAATTAAACAGGCCAACATGGTGCCTAGCAGGAGTCAGAAATCAGGAAATTGCCTCCAGTCAACTTTCTTCTGTCCAGACAAAAAACCTTCCTGCAACATTAAGCTCTCAGAGGGACTAGTCCACTGTGATTACCTTGGCCACAATGTGCATCTGAAGACAAGCAAAACACCAAATTACAGAGCAGTAGCCTATAATTAGGGCTGGGATTTGATGAAGGCATGTCAGGATAATTTGGAAAGTGGTCATTTCACGAAGAGCAACAGCAAATGGAAGTATTCACCATTAATCTGTACCTAGAGTGACCTTTGTTTTACCGGAGTAGCAGTGTTACGCTCAGTGTGTTGCAGTTCAGAATCAACTGTCTTGCAGGAAACGCGTAAGAACCCCAAACTCAACCATAGCTTTGCTTTCTGTCTCATGTACAGGCCGGAGAGAAAAGCAGCTCACCTCGCGGAGTCCTGACTTCCAGCCCTCTGCCCCGGACTCACCCGAGGCTCCGGTCACTGCAGAAGAGCAGGACGTGCTGCAATGAAGTTTGCAACAAAACCAGTAACAACAGAACTTAGGGGGGGAAAGGGGGAAAATAAAGCAAGCACAAAATCTGCAGAATTCTTCCGGACTGGTGCAGTGTTGCCAGCATAGCTCACACTGAGGCAACACACCACGCGTTCACCCAGCAGAGTGTACGACGTAGAATGGCAGTAACTAGGTGATTACTAACTGCTAATACACACTTCAAGTAAAAAGAAAACCTATCGTGATGTCAGCACAACATATTTCCCTTCTATGACAATGTAACAAGTCCAAAGAATACGGAGGCAGCAACGCATGTAGCACCTGGACTCCAGCAAGGCTTCCGACAGCATCTTACGCGCTCTTTCCAGAAGGAATTTAGAAAAAAAGCGCATTCAGAACTAGCTTGCAATGGTGTATACAACTCGCTGCAAAAACATACTCCAGAATGGATCACTGTCAAACTAGAATAAGGTCCAACAGTATTCAACAGCGTTCTTAATTACGTACACAATGCAATATATGGCTTTGTTACGAAATACCACGTTACTGGGGGGGAGTTGCAACTCTGTTCTACCATCAGAAGATAAATCAAAATGGTCTCTACAAATCTGGGAGGGAACTCACGGAGCGGATTTCTTCCTATTTGTTCTGCTAAAAACAAATGTAATGTGCGCTTTGATAGGAATTCTCATCTATACAAGATGGAAAAACTATTTGCTTGCCAGAAGTTCTGCAGAGAGCAGTCTGGAGCTGTAATGCATCAGTAAACAAATGTGCGTCAATAACACATTTAAACGGCAAGTTTCACGGGCTGATGTGCAAGACCAGAGCATCTTTGGTAGGACAGGTGAAACAACCCTTCCCTCTCTAGTCAGCATTAACACTGACTGACTTAGAACCTGACGTCCCGCTTAGGGCATCACATTTCTAGAAAGATACGAAGCAACTGGAGAGAGCCCAGGGAAGGGAAAAAAATAAAACACTGGAGGTCTAGAAAACATGACGTATGAGAACAGATTGAAAGAACTGGGTTTGTTTAGTCTGAAGAAAAAGATGACTAAAAAGAGACATGATAACAGTCTTCAAATATGTAAAAGATTGTTACAAGAAAGAAAAACTACTTTCCACATACACTCTGGATAGAACTAGAAACAACAAGCTAGGATAGCAGCAAAGTATGTTTTTTTCGAATGTCTAACTGACAGAAAAATTAAACATCTGAAAGCTTGCCACTAGGGGCTGTGGAAGCATGGAAGGTTTTCAGGAAGAAACACGCCTGGACGCAGGCAGGGATGCGGGGATTTCACCGGGATGGTGCACCGCACTTTTTTGAACCGACTGTACGACTTCCCCAGGTCTTCTTCAACACACTTGGATTCCACATTGTAGGCATCAAACGTCATTCCTTTATTGCTGCTTGTGACCACCCGTTGAGTTTAGAATGACTGGTCTTTATCTTCAAAGAAAAACTGTTCTTTCTAGGAAGACAAGCAATGCTCTGTAGAAAATGCACGAACCACTACACTCCCCCAAACTGTCTTTTCCAAACCACCATACACCAGGAGACAGGCACTGCCACTCACTACGGATGAGGGACAAGCTGCAGAACCGAACCAGGAATACGATACGTTGCTGTTTTCGGTGCGGTTTACTTCTAAAAGTGGCTTTCCTCTTGTGTATAAGATTTACTCTGCAAGAGGCCTGGCACAAGAAGACGTAAGAAATGCTAAAACAAAAAGTGACATCACCCACTAAACTAAGTGCAACAAGTCTTCTGGGGCAAATGAAGCTCAATAACTAGCTAATATGAGTTTTAGTCATTTCGAATATTGCCAAGCAATAAATTGACTGGCCAATATACTCCTCAGTGCAAATTACTGTGGAAGGTGGCCGCTGCTCCTCTCCTCTCGCCGTACCTCCACAACTACAGTCAGACGCAAGCAAGCTCTTTCCGCTGCTGAGAAGCTGCTACTAAAGGTGCTTGGTGTTTTATGAGGTCCCGAGCTTGTGGAAATTGCTCCTTTGTCACATACGGAATGGGCTGGCCCACGGGGTATGCTGTTAAGACACCCTTCCTCTCCCAGCTCTTCAGAGGACAGCAGCAAATGATTACGGAGCTGCAAGTCAGGAGCCCAGACAGACACCCGTAAAACACTGTCGACGCTGACAGATACAGTTATGCAGAAGAAAGACAGTGTAATGCATCACAGGTTTCCCAGACAGGGATATTGAACGGTGGTTTAGTGGAAGGTGGCAGCCTGGTATTTCTTAATGTTTTCTTAAATAAATTAACTCAAATTAGGCCTTAGCTAGGATCCCACGGGCTTTAATTATTTAAAGACCCTAAAGAAGGCATTATTAATGGTCCAGATTTTTTTTCTCAAATTATCTCCACTTTTTTTTTCTCACTTCCAACAACGCGAAATTTCTCTAAAAGAAACCTTCGGATAAACTTCTCTGGTGCTTTGGAACTTGATAAAAATCCATGCCCTCTCTCTCTACAGTTCAGTAACAAACATAGTTTTGGTTCAAAGCTGCCTTATTTTGCCTCTTCCTGTATTTCTAGAGAAATCTATTGCCTTTACTCCACCACTCTTCCTTTTTTTGACCACTGCCAAAATGGGCAGTTTGGTTTTGGTCTCTCGCTTTCAGAGTAAGCGGCCACTGCAATGAGAAGAGCTGCCATACCAGCCCACCTGCCCTTCACTTTGACCATGTCACTGAACACAGCATCTAAACGGACACTGAAAAAGTTCCAGGAGGAGGAAACCGAAGGCAGGTGTGGGGAGAACACACCCAACAGGTCACTCCCATTGCAGAATGCCAGATAAGCAGACCAGAGTCATGCATCACCCGTGAAGCGGGGACAGCTCT